GAATATAGTTAAGAATTATAAAATGACCATCCTACCAAAGGATGGTCTACTATACTATATAGATTCAATGCAATACCAATCAAAATCCCCATGACATACTTCACAGAATTAGAAAAAGAATCCTTAAATTCATATGGAAGCACAAAAGACCCCAGATAGCCAAAGAAACCCTGAGTACAAAGAGTAACACTGGCGGGATTACTATACCAGATCTCAAAGTATACTACAGAGATAGTCATAAAAACAGCATGGTACTGGCACAAAAGTAGACACATAGATCAATGGAACATCATTGAAGAGCCAAACCCGAGTACATCAGACACCTGATATTTGACCTAGGTGGCAAGAACACACAATGGAGGAAATACAGCATCTTCAACAAATGATGCCGGAAAACTGGATCTCCACCTGTAGAAGAATAAAAGTAGATCCTTATCTTTCACCTTGCACAAAAGTCAACTCCAAATGGATCAAAAGACCTCAGTGTGAAACTGGAAACCCTGAAACTATTAGAAGAAAATATTGGCAGTAAGTTACAGGATATAGGTATAAGAAAGGATTTTCTAAATCAGACAGAAGTTGCTCAGGAATTAAGGTCAGCAATTGACAAGTGGAACCCCATTAAACTAAAAAGCTTCTGTACAGCAAAAGAAACCATAAAAAACATGAAGAGAAAACCCACAGAATGGGAAAAAGTCTCCATCAGTGACACATCTGACAGAGGTTTAACATCCAGAATATTTAAATAACTCAAAAACCAAAGCATCGAGAAACCAAATGACCCAATTAAAAGACGGGCTAAAGATCTAAACAGAGAGTTCTCAAATGAAGAAATAAAGATGGCTAAGAAACATCTCAAGAAGTGTTCAACATCATTAGTAATTAGGGAAATGCAAATTAAAACCACCCTAAGGCATCACCTTTCCCCATTCAGACTGGCTAGGATCAAGAGAACAAATGATACCAAATGCTGCCGAGGATGTGGGGAAAGGGGAACGCTCATTCACTGCTAGTGGGATTGCAAACTTGTGCAACCTCTATGGAAAACAGTGTGGAGAACTCTTAAAAAACTAAAAATGAACTTAGCATATGACTTGGTTATACGATTCCTTGTCATATACCCAAAGGACTCATCCTATTGTAGAGACACTTGTACAACCATGTTTGTTGCTGCTCTTTTCACAATAGCTAAGAGATGGAAGCAACCTAAGTGCCCCTCAAGTGACCGGTGGTTAACAAAAATGTGGTATATTTACACAATGGAGTTCTATTCAGCAGCAAAGAAAGATGAAATAATGAAATTTGCAGGTAAATTGATGGATCTAGAAATTGTTACACTAAGTGAAGTAATACAGATTCAGAAAAACAAACGACATATGTTCTCTCTCGTATGTGGACCCTAGCACCAAATCCTTTTAAATTCCACATCCTTTTAATAAGATGATGCCATATAGCAGTCCCTTCTGCATGAAGTAACTACTGCCATCACAACTTCAGCTGAGCCTGATCCCTAAACATCATCACAACTGGGCTTGTTGACGACTGTGCTCATTCATAAAAGGAGGGCCAAGCAGGGTCACTGGACCCTCACCAGATTATCCAGCCATTGCCCCAGCCAACTGTATATAGTTAAACCCTAATCACACATGGCCTCCTGGGTTGGGAGAGGGCTAAAGCATACAATCTGGGGAAGGCTGGGAAGAGAAGGCATGATCCAGGCTGGGAAAAGGCTTTCCAGTGTGCATACCCTCAGGTCATACATATACCTCAGCAACCCCCCAGTTAACTGGAAGCCTTTGAGAGGGAACTGACACTGACTCTAACCACTCCAACAGCTATCAGAACACCTGAAAACAAATCCTGAGTTCATCACTCTTGAGTCCAGCCTTGATGGCCAAAAGAAAAATGAAGAGGAACCCAATAGAGGGATGCTTTTGGAAGCCCTTGTCAAGAAATTCCAATGGACTCTCATATGATCATTTGAAAATGCCCTGTTCTGATTTTTTTTCTAGTTCCCTGTCTAGAACTTGTAATACTAATTACTCTTGCCTTTGCTTCTCCTTCACATCTCCTATTCAGGATTCAAGGACTTTCTTTTCCCCCCTAGAGATAAGAGTTATGGAATTTGGAAGTCTTTTAGATAGACCCACTGAAGGGGTGCTCCAATTTCCTTACCCTGCATCCCTGTTCAGCATGGAGGAAGCCAGAACAGTCTGCATCCCCATTCCCTATTGGCAATTTGGGAAAGCTTTTCAGTAGTTACTGTGATAAGGATAGGGGGTAGGAATTGGCTAGGCAGTTAGGGTAAAAAGACCCCCAAAGAAAAGTAGCCAGTTTCTTGGCTAAAACTCACAATGTCCTTGGGTCTCTTAGTAACCTACTCCGTTCCAAAGGCCAAAAATGTCGAAAATATTTGGGAGCTTTTATCTAATCCTTAAAAGATTTTAGGGTCACCTCTTCAGAGGGAGGAATGTTACAGTAGCCAAAAGCCCCATTAAAAAATATAAAAAAATAAAGAAGAAAGAGTATATGAAGTTATCAGAAAAAAGTGATGGGGAGATATGGGAGGAGTTGGAGGGGAGGGAGTGGGCATGGATTTGATCAAAACACCTTATATGCATGTATGAAATTCTCAATAAATTATTTATTAAAAAAAGGAATCCCAACCCAATATAAGGAACTTTTGGCAATTGATGGCTGCTGGGGAGAGACAGTGTCTTACAGGGATGGGACTCTCAGTAGGCCCAGTGGATAGGCCCATACTGCAGGACATCTGGGGACACAAATCAGACTCTAATGGCATATATTATATTGGGTGAGGGGCAATAAGGAGACATGTAGATAGGGGAAAGGATCTAAATACCATCAAATTATATTGTATGAAAATTGAAAAATTCAATAAAAATGTTAAAAAATGAATTTATCAACATGACATTCACAAGTGATCAGTCCTAAAGATGTGTGTATATTAACACACTAAATG